CTTTTATAAATGAACCTGGTTACACCCCCTTGGCTTCCAAGTAGACCACTAGTCTTGTTACCTCCTGGTTTGGTTAGCTCAGTAGAGTTAAACTCTAAAAGGTAGAAATTGCCCAGAGCACCTGGCGTACAAAGACTTCTCAATGAACTGTATTAGGAAGTCTGTGATTGGACAGCCACAGAAAGTCTGGGCGGGGTTAAAAGGGGAGGGCTTGCAGAGACAAGAAAACTGCAGGTTTTGCAAGCTGGTTTGGATATACCCACAATGAAAAAAATGCATTATTAAAGGCATGCACATTTTACTTTGAGTTATATCTACTAAATAGTGAGTTTTATTTATTTTGTATTTGGGCAGTGGAGTGTTCCTTTAAGGAGTATACTGGGTGGCCAGTCACTGTATCCACCAGCCACTAGGGAATGCAGGCACAGTGAAAGTGCTGGTTTTTGTGGCGTGGGCAATGAGCTTGCTTTAAGATTGGTTTCTGATTTCACTAGTATTGTGGGGAATAATGCAAATCATATACCATGTTCTATACAGTTATATCTCCCATGAGATTCAGGCAGCACTGACATACAGAGGGTTAACAGTGCAATGTGGTAGGAACAGAGCACGGTATGAAAGAATGAAGAATGGCGAAACAGCATTAAAGAGTTTTAGGAAGATTTGGCATCTAGTCAAACAAAAAATACTTTTCCATAATGAAGAGTTGTAAAAATAGCTGCAAAAGCATTTTATTTTCACTCATTCAAAAAGGATATCCCTGGGTCAAGATGAGATGTAATCATCCAACTTAATGATAAGTGTGTTATTGTCCGTCCTTGAAGGATGAAAGGCTGAACTGATGCTGAAGTTTAAACAGGTTTCAGCAATAGATGGTGCTGACCCTAATAAGCACCCCGTCTCTTTCTCTCCAACACTTTTACTTGGAGTACAATATTAATCATCAATAGACAGATCAGATCCAATGAAGTTTCTGGCCTGTACCCGCTGTACCCTTTCAGGGAATACACAATTAATTAGCAATAGATGGATTAGCTCTCAGTGAACCCCCAGTTTCTATCTCTTGCACCCTAATGGGAGTACAAGATAAGTCAGCAGTAGATAGATCAGATCCCAGTGAACCCCCAGTTTCTATTTTGTTGCACCCTTACTGGGAGTACGCAATCAGTAATAGAAGGATAAGATCCCCCTGAATCTCTAGTTTGTGGGAGAACACGATTAATCAGCAGTGGATGGATCAGATCTCAGTAATCTCCCCCCCACCCCCCCAATTAATTAGCAATAGATTGATTATCTCTCAGTGAACCCCCAGTTTCTATCTCTTGCACCCTAATGGGAGTACAAGATAAGTCAGCAGTAGATAGATCAGATCCCAGTGAACCCCCAGTTTCTATTTTTTTGCACCCTTACTGGGAGTACACAATCAGTAATAGAAGGATAAGATCCCCGTGAATCTCTAGTTTGTGGGAGAACACGATTAATCAGCAGTGGATGGATCCGATCTCAGTAATCCCCCCCCCACCCCCCAGACCTCAATTTATTGCCAGCCTGTTCCATTTAAATATGGTTTCCTGCTTCAAAGCTGCGGAGTCTTTTTTAACTGCCTATATTTTCCAGTGCTGTTGCCAAGTGTTTAAATCCACTTTTTTTTTTCTTGGGAAAAGAAGCTCAAATTCTCCTCTGACCTTCTATTCGGGAAAACAAGACGAGTGAATCCATTTGCAATGGCAATGTTTACTAACCAACATTATGCTTTACAATAAGCTTTTACCAAGGCATCCAGATAGAGCAGTAAGGGAAAATGGCTGGCTACGTGCCTCAATAAAATAGTGGAGGGATGACTGAAGACAAGATTTGCAACATAGAAGTTGTGTTTTAGATCTATATTTATTCATTTAACATCGGACTTATTGCTTAAAGAGGCAGTATAAACCATGCAGGCCTTTAGTAACTTTTTAAAAGTGTTTTTCAACGTTTACAACCTGCTAGCATGGTTAAATGTGGCAGTAACATGTTAGAATGTTTACTATAAACGGGAAATGGATTTTATTTAAAGGGGAAAAAGCCTGAAATTTTCATTAGATGTTTGTAGACCATTATAGTTGGCATTTTGTACGGATTTAGTGGAAACATTTTTGCTATCCAAACTAGTTGTGCATAAAAGTGTGGCTGCTTTCAGCTTTTTGACATTTCCATTCATGGTTTTCATCAATGGAGCTACAAATGTGACAGGTTACTTCTATACTGTTGCATGTGGATCCAGCACTGGCCCCTAAATCAGAGAGCTGAGAAAAAAGTTGGAAATATATAGAGCAACCAGTGTATACAGCATACAAGAACACACACACAAACCTCAAAACCCATTTTATATTATGCTAAAAAAAATCTAAAAATGTTTGTCTGATATGCACTAAATTAAGAATCAGCAAAACTGAAATAAGCAAAGTTTGAAGTCACCTAAATTAGCCCCTAAAAAGCCTTTTAAAATATATCTGAATTGGGGGGCGGAGCTAAGCGGCCATGTTGAGAGGTTGCACTGGAGACGAGCTCCGTGTAAAAACGCTCCAAAACAGCCAAAATCACGGCTAAAACCAACAAAATCGATGGTTAAGCGACCTGGAAAAGGGAGACCTTACATAGCAGAGCCAAGAGCCAAGCATCCCGACCGAAATCAGAGGCTTCTAGCCGGGGATAGACCTGAGGCCTGCTAGAGGCCTACTCAGCCAAAGTGAGATACTGCAGCCACTCACCTGGAGGTCTCCTCGGCATACTTCCAACCTCCCCCCTGCCGGAGAGGGATATCCCGGCAACAAAAGCCTGAGACACAGCGACTAAAACCCAGAGGTGACTGTCCTACACAGCAGGCACAGCACCAGCTATCACTGGGTCATTGAGAAGCAGCAAAGATGGCCGCCAAGCGAAGGCCCCAAAAACAAAGCACACAAGCACAACCAACCACGGACCCCCTGGGGGACTTCGACCAACTCTGTGTGAGACTCTGGTCTATGCTGAGTGAGCGTGGAATGGCTTACCGCCGGGCAGTGAAACTGGTGGCCACGTGGATCCGTCCAGCAACCAGGCGGCCCCATTACAGGCATCCACTACAAACACCCAGAAAGACAACTAGACCCTACAAACACCATCGAGCTCAAGGGCGGGAAACTATGCCATATTACGATGGCCCCCACACCCAAGAGAACAAGACTGCTAAGCCAACCTCCCACACAAGCTACTCACCAGCTCAGCGGGGCTCACCTTCACCCCTCCAAGCCACAGCTGCAAACCGGGGAGCTGCACAGTTGAACACTCTGCTAGATACCGCCGGAGCGGAGCCCCAGTGCCAGAACAGTTTTTGGGAGATCAACACTGACAACAGGAGACACGTCCATGCGCTGGGCATTGGCTGAAGGACCTGCCTCAGGTGCACACACCATAAATGCACCTGGAGGGCACATTCACAGCCGCCGACACACGGACTTCCTACACCACGTAACTATGGCTGTCCAATGCAGAGATTAAGTGCATTAAATGAACACTGTGGCCGACCATTTAGCCTATGTTAATCCTCCCTATGTTGCCCTTCTATAACTGGTGCCGCAATGAGGGTTCTCACACCTTGACCCCTACCGATGTACGGCATCGTAAGCTACTAAACATATGACAGTCACCCTCACTAATTTTCTGATCCTTAAAGCGATGGTATTTTATGTTAAACTAAGAAGCAAGCACGTTTGCATTGTGGCCAATCTGGTCAACTAATACAGCGTTAGTAACCATAACTTTTGCTAATGCAACTAGCATGTAACTATATCCTGACCTAGGCAGCATGCATATTTTTTTGTCCTATTTAACCTTTACACTCCACCAGCTACTTAGCCCGACTAAATTTTAGGATTAATAATGCTGGTGTACATCGTATAATTAACCGTTAAAATGTTGTAACTAGCTCATCTGAAACAATATTACGTTTGACACATACTGATCCACCACGTCATGTATAAATATAACAAACAGTGCATTTTTTTTTTAATTTTTTTTTTTTCCCTGATATTGTATGTTACACCATGGCTTTTTTCTTGTGTTATCCTTTACAATGTTTACCTAAAATTGTCTACATAAACCTGCACTGCAAAAATAAAGAATTTAAAAAGGGAAAAAAAGGGAAAAAAGAAAAAAGATTAGGATAGTAAGGGACTAAAATTGCATGTAGCCAGGGCCAGTGCACTAAGTTTGCTTCCCTTTTGCAAGCCTATTACGTGACACACGCTTTATAACATAGTGAGTTAGGCATTTATAGAAATTAACGTTGCCTCATCGCTTTCTGTTCCATTGTGGTTTTATTTCTTCTTCCTTGAAAATATTTGGCCGTCGACCCATGACTATAATTAAAATACGAAACTAGAGGCGCGCCGGGGGTTAAACCCGCAGCTAGCCTATACTAACCATATGTACCTCACTCTTGTACAAGAGCTAGACTAAGCCTGTATTACTCAATTAGAATGTTATTCTATGTTGCCTAAAATGAGCTAATTAGATATACCAGCGATGTTACCTTCAGCTAGGAGTCAGAATTAGCTGTTAGACCTATGACTGTTTATTATTTTAACCATCCTTAAACATAAAAATTGTGCTAGTTTTCTCATGTACCTCTATGTCTAAATGTCTATATAACGTGTTGGAGGATTGCCTTTGGGGTACCTCACAACTGTCTGTTATGAGCTTATGCACTACAAAAATAAAGAATAAAAAAAATATATATATATATATATCTGAATTGCAATGTACCGAATGACCCAAATCATCCCCATATAACAGCAGTACACTTCAGGAAAAATATATAACTATAAGTTCTTTGAAACAAACAGTGTGAAAAGTGCTAAATATCATAAAAGACAAATGAATAAAAATGTAATCTCACTAGTTCTCCTTGAAACTTCCCCCTGATTACATAAAGGTGAAAAATTGTGCATACAGTGCAGAGTTGAAAAATCCCTAAGTTACCTGCTCGATTCCAGTTGCAAAACCCTTTTTGTATATTTTCACATTCTCGTGCTTTGTGAATTAAGTATGGAAAAGAGAGGAGGGCTGCAGGGGAACAAAACTTGTGTGGACTGGTTGACTATAAAATAGTTAACTTAAAGTGACAGTATAGTCACCAGAACAACTACAGTTTAATTGTCTTCAGGCATTTTTATGCAAACACTGCCTTTTCAGAGAAAATGCAGTGTTTACATTGCCCCTAGGGACACCTCCAAGTGGCTATCCTCAGATGGCCACTGGAGGTGCTTCCTGGGATAGTGCTGCACAGTACGCAGCACTGCCGTTCAGCGTCTCCACGCTCTGCATGGGAACACTGAATTTTCCTCATAGAAATGCATTGATTCAATGCATCTCTATGAGGAGGTGCTGATTGGCCGAAACAGTGTTTGGTCCCGCCCCATTGCTGATTTTAGCCAATCCAATGCCTTCCAATGGAAACGCATTGGATTGGCTAAAAATCGGCAGTTCTGATAATGTCACCAAGGGGGCGGGCTCGCACGGCGCTGGAAATAAGGTGAGTTTTCACCTTTTCTAATAGGGCTAAGGGGGGGCAAGCTACGTAAATGGCGGGTTTAGCACTATAGGGTCAGGAATACATGTTTGTGTTCCTGACCCTATAGTGTTCCTTTAAAGCTGACTTTTCGCACTTGCTGCTCTACAGTGTGGCATGTCGCCTTTCTGTGAGGAATAGACAAGTGAGGGTTGGTGTGCACACCAGAAGACTGTCCCCAGAAAGGGAAGTTCAAGCGCATCATTAGACACATTCACACCAGGCTCAGGTTGCTGAAACAGCACTGTTAGGAGTTAACAAATCTGTGTAATTGGCAGGCAGTCTGGAGAGCACTCATGCCAGATTTTTTAGCCAGAAATACACAGTGCCATCTTAACAGCATTATGGGCCCCTGGGCAAAGCAGTGCTCTGGTGCCCTGCCTACACAACAACTCATAGGAATAAAAATGGAAATTGTCAATAAAATTAAGCTTATACTTATTGGTACCTCCGACAAATGCAACACATGCATGCAGACTGCTGAATACGCACACACCGACTGCTGAATACACGCACACAGACTGCTGAATAAATACACAGTTCGCTGAATACACACACACAGAGACTGCTGAATACACACACACACACAGACTGCTGAATATACACAGACTACTGACTACACACATACTACTGAATAGACACAGGCTGCTGAATACACACACAGCCTGCTGAATACATACAGACACCTGAATACACACACAGACTGCTGAATACACACACACACACACACACACAGAGACTGCTGAATATACACAGATTACTGACTACACACAGACTACTGAATAGACACAGGCTGCTGAATACATACGCCGCCTGCTGAATACATACAGACACCTGAATACACACACATACACACAGACTGCTGAATACACACACACACAGAGACTGCTGAATATACACAGATTACTGACTACACACAGACTACTGAATAGACACAGGCTGCTGAATACGTACAAATACGTAGAAAGGTGCTGTTTGTGAGGAGTGCTGTGTGAGAGGGGTGCTTGTGAGAGAGGTGCTTTGTGTGAGGGGTGCTGTGTGAGAGGGGTGCTGTGTGTTAAGGGTGCTGTGTGTTAAGGGTGCTGTGTGTGAGAGAGGTGCGGTGTGTGAGAGAGGTACGGTGTGTGAGGGGTGCCGTGTGTGAGAGGTACGGTGTGTGTGAGAGGGGTGCTGTGTGTGAGATGGGGTGCTGTGTGTGAGATAGGGGTGCTGTGTGTGAGAGAGGTGCTGTGTGTTAAGGGTGCTGTGAGAGAGGTGCTGTGGGTGCATGGTGTTTGTGTGTCGCAGAGTATGCAGGGTGCATGGAGCAAATGTTTTCTTTCTTTTTTTTTTTAAATACTAAATGTACATTAATATAATCTGCATACCTTAAGTGAAGGGGGGAGGGGTCCATTGGTGATCTATATAGCCTGCAGCTCCTCTGGCTGCAGGCTGTCTTCACTTTTCCCAAGCTGAGCGCTGTGTGGAACGTTGCCGTGGAACGCGTAGAAACACTCTACACAGCATGCTCCTGTTGGGAGCGATCTGCCTCCCAGGTCCCTCCTCCCGCCCTCTCTCTACCCTCTCTCGAAGGGCCTTTGGGCTGGTGAGGGAGATCTTTGCTCTCTCCACCGGCCCGAGAGGGCCCACGGCAAGAGAGCAGGGCTGGCTCTTCATGGGCAGGCTGGGGAGATCAAAGGGCAAACTGGGCAGCGCTGGGGGGGGCCTCCATGCCTGTGGGACCCCCAGGCAGCTGCCCAGCATGCCCATGGGGAAAGACGACCCTGGAAACATCCCCTTTCCAGGTCCAGATTAAGAGACCAAAGGGCTTGGTGCTAACAATAATAATGGGCCTAATTACAGAATCTTATCGACAACACTAAAACAGTTATACCTCCCAAGAGTCATGTATCTAGTCTAGGTGGTGCTGGAGGTAAACTCACAGGATATAGCTATAAGAAAACACAAACCCTATGCTAATCTCGAAGAATTAGAAGGTCAGCCTTGCGTGAATGCTTGTCAGACTGTCTGCTAATCATGCAGGCTAGCCAACTAAGAGCATACTATACAGACAGCATCCTGAGTTTGGCATAGATGTGATCACTCCACACTTTCTAAGGACTGTCCCTTAGCACTCACTTTTCCACTACTCTCCTTAACATCTTACTAGCAGACAGAATGTCCTTTTATACAGTCTGGGACAGAGAAAAAGTATAACTAGTGAGTGTAGTAAAAAGGGAACATGTCACAGTGTTAGAGAGACTGAAGCAGCAAGAGCATTTGCACAGTGCACAAAGTTAGCTTTACCTTAACTAATTTCATTGCCAGCCAGTTCACACCGTTTTGTTCCACTAGATCCCTCTTAAGTTTCTATATTTAAACAAGAGCATGTGAAATGTAGTAAAAAATATTTTTTTTAAATC